TGCCAAGTTAGTGCCTATTGCACTTGAGCCTTAGGTCCTGCTTCATCACAGAATCACAGAATCCTGGAATGGTTTGGGTGGGAAGGGACCTAAAGCTCATCTCCTTCCACCCCTGCCATGGGCAGGGACACCTTCCACTGTCCCAGGTTGCTCCAAGCCCCTGGCTTTGGACACTCCCAGGGATCCAGAGGCAGCCACAGCTTCTCTGGGCAACAATAGCAATAATTAGCAATAATAACAGGACCCGAGTTCCATGGTCAAAGCTGGGTGCATGTGATTTGCTTCCCACTACACCATGCTCCTTCTCCCAGCCCCCTGTGAGCAAGAACGTGTTATCACAATAAAACCCGACTTCTCAGGGCAGGAAAAGTGAATTTCTCCTCTCCCTGCCTCCAGATGAATACTTCAGCCAGGGCTGTGCTCCCGGCTCTCCTCCCAACTCCCGCCTCTGCCAGCTGTGCAAGGGCTCAGGGGGTGTCCCTCCGGAGAAGTGTGTTGCCAGCAGCCACGAGCAGTACTACGGATACACCGGAGCCTTACGGTACGTGCTGGGGACAGCCTTGCTGCCTCCGTGTCCTGGGGCTGCTCACAGAGGGCAGGGCACAGCTGAAGTGCAGCCTCATGTCCACACTAACTCTTTTTCTCCAGCACATCACTGAAAGGGCATATCTCTGTAAGACTATACATGTGTCACGTGCTTTTGCTTTGCTTTCTCAAAATTGATGTGAAATATCCCCATTCTGTAAAACTCATATCCTGGTGCCTCCAGGCAAACCCAGAGAGGCACAAGCCCTGCCACAATGGCAGAAGTGCTCCTCTTTTAGCATAAATAAGGAGTGTAAAGGCTGTGTTTCAGATATATTTAAAATATTTGTGGCAGGACTCCTAAACCTGGATGTCCTTGGAGATTAATTTCAGAATAAGACTCAAGTCCAAATGAAATCTGTGGGAAAGGGACAGGATTCAAGCACTGACATCACTGGCCTCTCTTTCTTCTTCCCAGGTGTCTGGTTGAGCAGGGGGATGTGGCCTTTATCAAGCATTCCATCGTTGAGGAGAACACTGATGGTGCGTGCTCAGGGCTGCCTTCCCCATCTGCATGATTGCCTAGGTGGTGTTGAGGCTGATGTTCTGCTATGCAAGTCCTCTGAATCTCCAAACCCATTCTCTTTAAAGGCAAAAATACAGAAAGCTGGGCCAAAGATCTGAAAATGGACCAATTTGAGTTGCTGTGCACCGATGGGCAGCGGGCAAATGTCATGGATTACAGAAGATGCAACCTGGCCAAAGTCCCTACCCACGCTGTGATGGCACGTCCTGAGAAAGCAACACAAGTCCGTGAGATGCTGGAGAACCAAGAGGTTTGTAGTGCTGAGAGTAGGAAAAATATTCTGGGGTTGCTCTGATTTTCCCCAAGTCAGCATGGGTGGAAGTTTTTACCTCACTGCTGTGGGGTGACAGCCTTGTCCCTTGGCCTCCCCCTTCCTCCATCCCTTCCCAAGTGCTCTTTCTCCTCCTCCACCTTAGCAAACACACCTTTAGGTAGCAGTGGGATTGCAGCTGTTGCTGCTGTCACACTGTACTTTTGTGACAAGAGTTTATCACCTCCTTTCTGGCCTCAGCTTCTGCTGGGGTGTTTCAGAAGCTCCTTTGTGGTGCCTGCTCTGTGCCACAGCTGGGTCAGGCTGAGCCCCAACAGCAGGCTCCCTGCACACACACAGCTGACCAGAGCCAGGCTGAACCATCTCTGTTTCTCCCTGCAAACCTTAATATTGGCTCCACCATCAGGGTCTGGTCAGAGGCAGCTGGGGCCTTTTTCTTCTACTCATGGTTAAGTTACAGGCCTGCTGGCAGCATCTCTGCACACTGGGACATGTTAAAATGGGAAAAAAAATGTGCCTGCCAGTGAGCAATGTCTCCTCTAAGCATACAGACAGAAGGTTCAATCCTAAATTTCTGGAGTCTGGCTTGGGGCTTCCCGGGCTGATGGTGAAGAACCAGGAAGAAGTAGGCCAGCTTTCTACTTCTCTCCTCTTTGTGTTTCAGAGGCTGTTTGGACCAAAAGGAACCAGGAAAGATGATTTCAATATGTTTGCATATGAATCCAAGGATCTTCTGTTTAAAGACCGGACAAAGTGCCTGATCAAGCTCCGTGAAGGACTATCGTACAAGGAATTCCTTGGAGATAAATATTATGCTTCACTTGCCAGCCTCAACACCTGCAATCCATCAGGTAACTGGAACAGCCCCAGAGGAAGTCCTGAATTGCAGTTCTTACCTTTCAGGCATGAGTAGTTTCCTCTGGAACTGTCCATTCAATGACTTTAAAGAAAGAAATTGCCAATATTCTTTCTCAAAGTTCCTTGGGTGAACTGAGAACACACTTAAAATCTGCTGCTCTGGCAGCAACGTGAATGAAAGACTTTTCCTCACCTCTAGAAAATAAGGACTTTGAGAAACAGCACAGAGAGCCCCCCAGGACCCAGCAGTGTGGGATTTGTGGATAAAGCTCTTTTTTTGTGGCACACTGTGGATTTTCCATGGTGTGACATTGGCACGGCTGGGTGTGTGCTGCTGGGACAGGAGTGTTTAAAAGCAGGATCTGAACTTCTCCCTGTCCTTTCCCTTTCCAGATCTTCTCCAGGTGTGCACCTTCCTTGCAGACAAGTCGTGAGGTGGGAAGGATCCTCGAGGTGGGGGAGAAAACCTCAAGCCATGACTCCTCTCGTGCCCTCAGCAGCGAACACTGACCCACGGAGGGCCCTCTGCCTTCCCTGCTTCCTCTGCCCTCCCTCCTCACTCTGAACGTAGCTCTTTGACACTTTACAACTCTCTGCTGCCAGCACAGCAAAAAATAAAATTTAAAATCTAAACGGGTGTCCTGAGATTTTTCCAAATGGTCCTGAAGCCCATTCCTTCCTCAGTGCCTCTCACTGTGGGACAGTGACAGACACCAGCACGGCTCTTGTCACTTACTGCTGCCCCTTAAGGAAATTTCTTGCAGCACTTGCCAAAGCAAAATAGATTAAATACACCCTGGATCTTAATTAACAGATGCTTTGTCCTCTCTGTGCTTTTGCTCTGCCCAGATTATCCCATTGTCTCCCAGGCAGGTGAGGGTTCCCCAGTGAGGCTGGGACACAGGAAGAGGGAGAGTATTTGTGTCAGGGAAGCTGAAGAAGGAATAAAAACCACTCCAAACCAAAATAATACAGTGGGAGTAAGATGGGAGATGTGAACAGAAGCTGCTGTGTCTCAGATCTCAGCTGGCAGGCCCTGAGGCCCTTCCAGCAGGCAGGACTCATTAAGCACATACATGTATTGATGGGGAGAGTCCAGGCTTGGGTTTTCTTTCTGGAAAAATCTAGGATTTGCTCAGAAACATGTTTGTTTTGGCAGCCTGTCTGATTTTGTGCTGCTGACCTGAAAACAAACATGTAGTTTGTTTTGCCTGACTCTGAGCCACTGTGAAAATAAAAAGACAAGATAAAAAGGGCTGATGAAGCTCTGTGCTCCAGAGGAACAGCCTGGGCTCATCCAGGGTGTCCCAATCCTGGAATAACCTGGGCTCATCCAGGGTGTCCAATCCTGGGGTCAAGGCAGGTGTGGAGGAGCTGCTGAGAGCACAGAGCTCCTGGCTTTGAGGGAATGAATATTTTGATGTTTTTTGGGTGCATATGGTAAGTGTGGTGACAAGTGCAGCAGCCTGGCTGAAAATGCCCCTGAATGGCAGAAATGCAGAGTGTGACAGGAAAGGATGAAATGTAGTCCCTCAGTTTATGCAGGATGAATACACTGGACAGGTGTTTTTTTAACCCATTCTTAAAAAGTAGCAAAGAAAGAGAATCAGTGCCTCTAACAGGCTGTTTCTACAAGTCAGTATGGCTACAGATAGAGAACTTTCCCCCCAAAAAGCTGCACCATCTGCATTTCACGTGAGGTGCAAGCCCTTGACCCATTAGTAGAAGGCATTAAAGGATAAAAGGAACCTCACTGGAGGTTCACTCAAGCTGGAGGGACCTCTGGGGGTCTCCAGTTCAATCTCCTGCTCAAGGACAGGGATCAGCCAGCGTGTTCAGGGCTTGACCCCCAATGATGGCAACCAACTTCCACAACTTCCCTGGGCAGGCTGTCCTGCTCCTGGCAGCCCCCAAAGGAGAACATTCCTCTCACATCCACTTGGAACCTGTCTCCTTTCCATCTATTCCTGTTACTCCTCACCCTGCACCACTGTGGGAAGCCTGGCTCAGCTTCCTGACGCCTGGTACAAACAGCTTGGGACAAAACGGCCCCATGAAATGCTCCAGGCTGGAGACAGAGTGGCTGGAAAGCTGGGACAGGCCCTGGAGGTGCTGGTGACAGCAGCTGGACACGAGCCCAGGTGTGCCCAGGTGTGCCAGAGGCCAATGGCCCTGGGCTGGCCCTGCCATGGTGGGTCCAGCAGCCCAGGCAGTGACTGCCCCTCTGCGCTGGCACCTGGGAGGCACCTCCAGCCCTGGGGACAGCTCCGGGCCCAGCCATTCAGGAAGGACATGGAGGGGCTGGAGAGTGTCCAGGGAAGGGAACGGAGCTGGGGAAGGGAATGGGGCACCAGGAGGGGATGAGGGAGCTGGGCAAGGGGCTCAGCCGGGAGCAAAGGAGGCTCAGGGGGAACCTTCTGGCTCTGCACAACTCCTGACAGGAGGGGACAGCCGGGGGTGGTCAGGCTCGGCTCCCATGGAACAGGGACAGGAGGAGAGGGAACAGCCTCAGGCTGGGCTAGGGGAGGTTCAGGCTGGACATCGGAAAATGTCTTTGCAGAATGAGCTGTCCAGCCCTGCACATCTGCCTGGCATTTAAAAGCCCTTTATAGGTGGCACTTGGGGACATGGCCCTGGCAGCGCTGGGGTCAGAGAACTTTTCCATCCTAAACCATTCCACGTTTCTCCAGGCTCCTGAGGGGAGAACTACAGCTCCCATGAGCCCCCGCGCGCCGCCCTTCCCGGCGTGCCGCGCGGCCGGAAGCGGGAGCGCGGCGTGGCCACGTGTGCGGGCCATGGCGGGCGGGCTGGAGCCGCACCTGGCGGCGCTGCGGCGGGAGCTGGGCGGCCCCGCCGCGCTCTCCGTGCTCGTCGCGCTCATCGCCGTCGCCGTCACCTTCTGTGAGCTGCGGGAACCTCCCTTTCCCCCCGCCCCGCGGCTTGCTGCGGGCGGGCTCGGGTGTCCCCTCCTCACCCTCACGCTGTGCTCCTCTCTCCCGCAGTGATCTGGCGGTTCGTGCAGGGCAGGAAGAGCAGCCGCAAGGCCGTGCTGCTGCTGGGCCTCTGCGACGCGGGGAAGACGCTGCTTTTCGCGCGGGTGAGCCTGTACGGGGGTGGAGGAGTTCCCCTCAGTTCGGTTTTTAATCTTTTAATGAAGCTTGAAAGGCGGGGGTTATAGCTGTAAGGAGGGATGGAGGGCGAGCTTTGTCCACCACGGAGCGTCCAAAGAAACTGGTCTTGGTTTGAGTTTGTTGTAGTAAAAGTTTTGGGGATTCTTGACCTCACTGCAGCTCCAGTCTCAGGGAGCGGGGACAGCACCCCAGGGAGCGGCTGGAGCTGAGCTTGGAGAGCAGGGGGAGATTCCTCCCCCAGAGGGTGCTGGGCACTGCCCCGAGGCTGCCAGAGCTGCGGGAGAGTTTGCACAGTGCTCTCAGGGTGGGATTGTTGGGGTGCCTGTGCAGGGCCAGGGGTTGGGCTGATGATTCTGTGGCTCCCTTCCAGCCCTGGCTATTCTGTTACTGCTAAGTCTGAGAAGGAAAGGGGCACAGCCATGCTTGCCCTGCTCCCAGCTGGAAACTGAAGGATTTGCAGGCACGCTCTCTTCCTTCTTGTTCAGTGTCAATTCACAATACAAATAGACACTTCCATCCCTAATGACCATTTATTAATTAACTGGGCAAAGTGTGGTTTCCCACAGGAAACTGCCATCAGCTCCCTGCTGCCATTGCCCCAGTGAGCCCGTTTGTGTTTGTGAGGGGCTGGGGGGGGCTGGGGCTCCTGGGGGCGCTGCTCTGACGCTGTCCTGTCCCCAGCTGCTGTCGGGGCGCTACCGCGACACGCAGACCTCCATCACCGACAGCTCTGCCACCTACAGGCTCAGCCAGGACAAGGTGAGTGCCCTGCCCCGCCTGGGACAGCCTTTCCTGCCTAACCTGGGCATTCTTGTGCTGCTCAGGCCCCAGTTTGAATTCAGGATTTGTCCAGGCAGTGCATACTGAGATAATGTATGTACAGGTTCTTTTTCACTTTGCTTGTGAAATAGTTGTTATGTTTGTTTGTCTTGGGCCAGGTCTCATAAGGCCTGAAAAGAAATACAGTGCACCCAAGGATAGCTCAGCTGTTACTTTGGGGGTATAAAATGAGCAGGATGGCTTTTGTTGCAGTGGTGGAAACAAAAAGAGTTTAATAAAAGGCAAAATAACAAACAGAAAAATTCAGGCCAGGTGCAGAGGTCTGCTCCTGGTATAAACACCTCACAAAAGCCCTTTTTGCTCTTTTCTTTTTCTGCCTGATGGGCCAGGCAGGACTTTTTGCCTTCTATCCAGTTAGATGTCCCCAGGTTTTTGGTGAAGTCCCCATGGTCCTGTGAGGTGGCTTTTCACCTAATCCTTGAGAGAAACTTCTGGGTTTCTTTCATTTTTGGGGGATAAAGGTTAATTTTGCCACTCTGTCATTAGGGGGCACACTCCTACAAAGAGTGAAACATTTCTGGCTGAAAACCACACCTCTGGGTTGGGAGATCTGGGGGTTTCACTGTCCTGTTGCTATTTCCTCGACAATAATTTCTGTTCCTGCCAAGAAAACCTGAAATTAAAAGCTTCATCAGGATTAAGCAGAGGCTCCAGCTGGGCTTTGTATGGTCCCAGAAAGGATTTTGTTATTTTTAGCTCCTGTTATTTTTAGGTCCACAGATCTGGTAGTTCTCAGTTTTTGGCAATTCTTTCACTCTGCAAATCTCCTGTGCTGGATGCACACGTGGCAGGGAGAGCAGAATGCTGGCAGCACCTTAACTGCTGGTGAATTGTGAAAGTAGGGGGAGGTTTTGTGGCTTCACCTTCTCAGTCGTTCTTAACATCAGAGATAATAAGGTTAAAAACTTTGTAAAAGAGCGTGCAGGATTTTTAAAACATTTTTCCAATTTTTGTGTCTCTTTAATTGAGCGGACAAATATTTGCAAGGCAGTTTGCTTTTTGGTTCTTTTTTTTTAATGCTAGCCAAGGTTTCCAGTGAGCTCCAAGGAAGGGGCTCCTGCAGCCTTATCTGGGAGCAGTGACGTGGCCCTGCTCAGCCGTGTGTTCTCTCCCCTGTCCTGCCTTTGGCTGCTTCCTTTCCTGGGAAGGGAAACCTTTGCAGCCCCCAGTTAAAAAAGGCTCTTGCAAAGGCACTTCTGTGTTATTCCCACCAAGGTTTGGTGTGTGTGATAGGCGAGGCTGTTGTGTTCTGTGTCAGGGCAGATGGGGTTTGCCTTCAGGACACAAATCCAGGGTCAGACTGCTTTTCCCCAGTCCCTGATCACAGGAATCCCTGGATCAGGTGTTGTTCATTCCTTCTTGCCTGTGTTCCAGAGCACCAATGTGACCCTGATCGACCTTCCAGGCCATGAGAGCCTGAGGCTGCAGTTCCTGGAGAGGTTCAAGGCTGCAGCCAGGTAACCTGGAGGGGCTCAGCAGGGCAGGAGGGGGCAGGTGATCCTTTGGAAAGGGATAAACCAGGTGATGGTGCTGGGAATGCTGAGAGATGGGCTGGTGGTGCCCCCAGAGTCAGAGCTCTGCTATGGGGTGCTGCTGCTTAATTTTTGCTTTGCCTTCCTAGAATATCCTGATTGGGAAGGGGCCCACAGGGATGATTGAGTCCAGCTCCTGACCCTGCACAGGACAATCCCAAAATCCCACCACAAATTCCTGCTTACCTGTGCTTGTGGTGCACCAGGAGGCAAAGCCTCTGCAGGAGGGAGGTCTGGGGGGTGTGGGATGTCCTGGGGCAGACAGGGGAAGAATTCCTGCTAGAGCTGGCCATGGGCTGCATTCCATGGGCTGCATTTCATGGGATGTATTCCATCCATGCTTTCAGCCTGTGCTTGGGCTGGGCGAGACCAGATGTGAAAATCTCAGCCTGGGCTGGAATACTTGCAGGGTTAGGTGAGTGCAGAGCTTCATCCCCATCCCCTGTGGTTCCCTCTTGCCCCAGAGCCATCGTGTTTGTGGTGGACAGCGTGGCCTTCCAGCGGGAGGTGAAGGATGTGGCAGAGTTCCTGTACCAGGTGCTGGTGGACAGCACCGTGCTCCGCAACGCGCCCGCGCTGCTCATCGCCTGCAACAAGCAAGGTACCCTGGCCTGGGCCTGGCCCCTGCTGCAGGGCTCTCTGCCACACCTCTGAGCTTGGGGTTGCAGCAAAAGGAAGGCTGGCGTTTAGGTTTGAGCTCTGACTGCTCAGCTAGAGTGTTTGGAGGATTGCTTGGGAGAGGTGCAGCTCTTTGGGTGGGTGTAGGTGATGCAGGTGGGTTTTGTGTGGATTTTTGTTTCTGCTGGCTTCGTGCAGAGCTGTTCCTCAGTCTCCTTCCAGGCAGCAGGAAATAGCATCAGCTGGAGCATAATTAACTATCCCTACACACTCAGCAGTTCAAAGTTGTTCAACTGCCAGGGTTCCATGTTTTCTCTGGAGTAACCACAATACCCAGCTACTGGAAAAGACTCAATTTTCAGATCCCTACAAGTTCTACAGTGAAAGTGTGGGTCCCTGTGCAACAGTTGGGTGTTTTGGGGCAGTATCAGATCTGGGTTTTGTAGTTATTTCCTGCCCTAGGTCAGGAATTGCCTGAGGCCTTCATGGCTCTGTGTGCCACGGGTGGAAAGCACAGGACAGGAGGGAGTGCTGGTGCATCAAACCCCTTCTCTGCAGTATCTCCTTGCCCAGCAAGAATTTAATTCCCTGCATTGTACCAGACTGTTGGGTTGTTCCCATTCATGCCCGTGATCCCAAAGCTGCAGCATCCCTCATCCCACTGCAGGCACAGCTGTCCTTGTCCTGGTAGTTCCAGTGAATGCACAGTATGAACTGCCCTTACTTTAGGGGGAGGAACCAGGTTCTGAATTTTGACAACCAAAGAGCTGATTTCCTTATTTTCTCTCCAGATGTCACAATGGCAAAATCGGCAAAACTCATCCAGCAACAGCTGGAGAAAGAGCTGTAAGTATGGAATGGGATCTCAACCCCTCTGAGCTTTTCCTCTTGTCCTTTTTCTCTAACCTCAGTGCTCAGTGAGCTCCCTTGAGCCGTGTCTGAGTTCCCTGTGGAGCTGGGAGCAGTGTGAGGCTTGGCAGTGCTGGGTTTGCAGTTGGACTCCATGGTCTTGGAGGGCTTTTCCAAGCTAAATGATTCCCTGGATCTATGAGCCCTTTGGCCAGCAGATGGCAGCAGGGGCGTTTGTGCTGTGCCTCCTCCAGGCTGAATACCCAGCCTGCTGGTTTTTAGCAGAGGAGTTAGTTGCCACACATTCACATTCTCCTGGAAAATAAGGGCTGCTTGTTCTGATGCAGAGCATTTGCCAACTGCCTGTGTGTAGGTGTTGGATTTCCATGTAGTTGTTGTGCCCTGTTAGGCACTGTTATTCCAGTGTTTACCATGGACAAATTGGGATAAGAACATCATCATCATCATCATCTGACTTCTGCTGTCCTTTATTACAAAACTAAACCTGTTTGAACACCTCTCCTTATACTCCCTTGAGCCTTTGCCCTTGTGCCTTCCAGCAGTGGCCAAAGGCCCTGGCTGAGCCTCACAGGGCAGAGCTGGCCTTTGTGTCCTTGGTGTAGCTGGCATGCTGCTGACACCCCAGAGCCCTGGTGCTGCAGTTCCTGACCCTTTCCCTTCTCTCCCTGCAGCAATACCCTGCGGGTGACACGCTCTGCAGCCCCCACCAGCCTGGATGGCTCAGCCACAGGGGGCCCTGCCCAGCTGGGGAAGAAGGGCAAGGACTTCGACTTCTCCCAGCTGCCCATGAAGGTGGAGTTTGTGGAGTGCAGTGCTCGGGGCAGCAAGGGAGAGGAGGGAGAGGCTGACTTGGAGGGCCTCGAGAAGTGGCTGGTGAAGGTGGCCTGAAGAGAGATGCACAGGGCTGGGGGGCTGAAGGGAAAAAGATGGCTTGGAGCACTCAAATCTCATCTTGGTGTGAAAAGAAGGAACTTCAGCTGGAAGTCAGCACTGTGGTGTGTTCTTCTGCTGCTCATGAGCTTGGGAGAGATGACAATTGCTGGTGTGATGCCCTCTGGCTGTCCCTTCATGCTGCAATGTTTTTATCCTCTCCCCTCTTCCCTTGCCCTCCTCTGGGCTGCTGAACCTCTGGGCTTTCCTTTTTCTTTAATCTTTAGGCTTTTCATCTGCTAGTTGCCAAGCAAATTAGGAAGGAGTGCACTGGCAGGTGAGTTTTAGAGGCTGGAGTGAGCCTGTCCTTTCCTGCCATGGTTTACACCCCTGTTTCCTCTCAGAGACACTGACCATCTTATGGTTGGGGCTGCTGGGGAGCACTGCACAGGCTCCCTAAGTTGGGCAGGCATTGAGAGAGTCTAAAAAGCTGGTTTCCTCTTTGTGTCTGCCTTCCCATTGTTCCAAACTGGTGCAGCCCCATTTCTGTGGGGCAGGAGGAGTGTGAAATGCCCAAACCTGACTGCCTGCCCTGCTTTACTCCCTGGGGTCAGCTCTGTGCCCATGTCTGGTGATTTCCTCTCTTGATCAGCTCCTGGGAGTTTTTCTTCAGCTGAGGGCTGTGTCCTGGAAGCTTCACTCTGCTTCTCCTTCCAAGCTCTCCTCCCACAGCCAGCAACAAACACTCTGAGAGTGGCAGAGCTACAGGGGGTCATGGCATGAAGCTGTGAGATGGGCACACTTCCAGATCTGGACCTGCCAGGCGTTTGCTGTGCAGACTCCTGCTGCCTCCTGCTGCACTGGCTGCAGGAAGGTCTTGCTCTGTGTGTAATTAATTAGTCAGCACTTATGGCAGAGTGGGAGGGAAAGTCAAGGAGCTGCCAGCACGTGAGTGCTTCCTCCTTGTGGCAGGGCTGCTCAAGGAACAGGGGAAAGAAAGGGGAGATTTTCCCACTGTGTCTCACTGCACATTGCAGAGTTCCAGTGCAGTGGCATTTTCCCTTTGTTTGTGGCTTCCCCTGCTGTTTTAGGGTTGGGGGGTGGCTGGCTCCTGGCAGACCCTTTTTGTAGTTTGTAGCCCACTCTCCCCTGTGGTTTGAGTCCTCCTTCATCACTCAACTCATCCGTTGTGTTCTTTTCCTTCTCTGGGGCTTTTCCTGCCTCCCTGCAGCATTGCCAAGTGTTGGGAAGAGCAGGAACAGCCTGCAGCAAAGCCCTGTGCCTGTAATGAAGCTGGTCCTTGCATTTCCAGCCTCAGGAGCTATCCGTGCAGGAGGTGGGGAGGGTTTTATTTACCAAACATGTTACATTCTTCTGTTTCCTGCAGGCAGAGTCGTGTTGGAACGTGTTTGTCATGCTTTGAACTCCTTTAGCTGGAGGTCTTGGGCTGCCTGCTTCAAATCCATAATGCTGAAATGATTTTGGGCAAAAAAATTGCTGTTTCTTTATGTGATTGTTCTTGCAAAGACACAGAAGCCAAGCACCAGCCTCAGCTTAAGGGGGGGAGGTACCATGAGGCCATGGTGGGTTTTAAGTTATTATTTTTAAAAGTATTCCTTAAGTAAATTCTTTTATGCTTAAATGTTTGTTCTCAAGTTGTGCTTCAGTCTGTGTGTTTGCCTTGGCTCTTCCCAGGGTGTCAGATCCACATGGATGGAGCTCTGCTCCTGCTCAGCACAGTGCTGGGGATCAACCTTCCTGCTCTGTGGCCATGTCTGTGTTGTCAAAAAACTTTGTTTTCTGCACACAGAGGGCTTTGGGGTTGAGGTTTTTTTTTTTTTGTTTTGTATTTCTTGGTGTGACTAATTGAGAAATTGATAATCACATAGCAAAAAACACCCACAAATCATAACTGAGAGGCACTTTGGTGATGTGCACAGGAGAGCTGCAGCCAGCTGTGGTGGCAGAGCAGCCCTGCTCTGCCCTGGAGGTGGCTGTGGCACCCTGTGGCTGTGCTGGATGGAGATGAGATGCCTCAGCTTTCCTGGGCTGGGGAGTGGCTGCACGGCCTCGGCCGAGCTGGGGCTGTGCCTGGAGCCACTCGTGCTGAAGCACACAGCAGAACTCCAGGAGCTTTTTGGGTTTCACTCCATGATTTTTTTAATATTTAAATACTCAGGGCTGGTTTTCCCCAGTGGCTGAGGGAAGAGAGCAGAACTGGAAACTCTGAGTGTTGTTTTCTTGTTTTTCTTGATTCCCCAGTCAGCTCTGTGCTTTGTTCTTTGCTCTCCTGACCTTGTTCCCAGCCCGTGGCTCTGCTGGCTGGGAGTGCTGCTCCTGAGGCTGCAGCTCGGCAGGGCTGTGCTGGGATGGCTTTGGCAGGACAGTGGGATGTGATAAACTCAGGCCCTTGCTGCAGCTGCCTGACCCTGAGTCAGGAACCCTCTGTTCACACATCCCCAGGGGCTGAGGCACTCACTGTGCTAAAGCTCTTTTGGTCAATGTTTTTTGCTATGGATTGTACTCCAAGTTGTTCCCCTGGAAAAGGCAGGTGTTTTTGGAGGAGAATGATGAGCACAGTGATAACTGGGGTAGCAGAAAACCTGAAAGAGGAGGAGAGATTGCTGAAAGGCAAAGAAAAGCAAAATTAACAGTGCCTGGACATCAGCATCCAAGGCTCCTGAATGCAGGTGTTCCAGCTGTGACCTTCCCTGTGCACAGAGCCACCACCCTGGCACCTTAGTGGCCAGGAGCTTCTGCTGGCCCCATCTGGGCCACCTCGTGCCCTTTGTGACCTCCTGGGGTTTGTCCTTCTGGGTGTTACCCCTGGTGTGAAACAAGTGGAGAAGGTTATGGAAGGTCAGGTGGGTGTTCAGGGAAAATCTGCCAGGTAGAGGTGGAACAGGAATAGGGTTAACATGGAGAGAGCTCTTTTTTGTGAAGACTTTGGTGATCCAGAGCAAATCCAGGGCAGGTCTGCTCCTGTTCTCCTTTCCTTCAACCCCCTCTATGAACATGGATGCAGCAGGGCCACGACCACGGGGAAAAGCTATGGGGTAAGGACAGCAGGGCCTGAATGCATCCAACCCATAAAATCCCTGAAAGAAAGCCCCAAACTCACTGCACCCTGCCCAGAGCCCACTGCATTGAAGAAATGACAGGATTTTTAAGAAGCTCAGTGTTTGACATAAGTAGCTGGACTTGTTAGGCTATGGGTTGAACTTGAAATGAACCCTAAGGCTGTGTTGTGTCATGCAGAGATGGATCAGAAGGAAACCAGGAGCTGACAATCTGATCAATAATAATAGTAAAGATTATTAATAATAGTTAGAATAAGCAAAGTTGCTGTTAAAATATTACTTTAAAATGCTGAAGCAGATTGTGGTCTGTGTACTGGAACACAGAATGGGCTTCCATCACAGTGTGGACTAACAGAACCCACCCACCAAACCCTCACCAAAACTCACCTGAGGGGTGTGAAACAACCAAAACAGCAACTCAGGTAAAACCTGCTGTGCCCCTGCCCCTGCCTGTGTCTCCTGCCCACCAGGGAGCTGCAGGCAGGGCAGGGGCCGTGGGACTGCAGGCAGGGCTCCTCGGCCATCCCTGAGCTCCGTGTAGCCCCTGGCAGCCCTCCCCCATGGCCGGTGGAGCTGCAGAAGAATGTCTCACTCTGCCACCATTTTTTCCCCTTTCCCAGCTGGAATGTGCTCAGCATGGGCCAGGCTGTGATCCCAGAGCTTTCCTGGCTGGTGGGGGGAGATCAAGAATGCACCACGGTTGGAAAAGTGACCTTTATTTAAAAAATAAAAAGAGCAACAAACCCCAGATGTTCTGCACTAAACCCCTCGTGCTGTCTTGTCCCAACACGTGTGTGGTGTCCCTGCTGCCCTCCGTGGGGGCTGCGGCCGGGGGGACACCTGGCAGCCACCTCCCCTGCTCCTGTCCCAGCCGGGCAGGCCGGGAATGTCACACCGCAGCGGGACCATCGCCCACAGCCGGCACTTCTCCGGGTCCCTGCGTGCCAGCCCCCTCTGCCTCCTGCCCCTCCCAGGCTGGAGAGCCCGGGCGCTGCCATTCCCAGGACGGGGCTGGCCCGGAGCATCCCTCGCCGGGAGCACCTGGGAGGGGAGCTCGGAGCGGCGGAGTCGCTCCCGTGGGAAGTAAAACAAACCCAAACAAGACAAAGTAGTGGCAGTGGGTGATGGGGGTGCGAGTCAGTCCTCGGGGGCTACACCAGCCCCGCCGCCTTCTCCTGCACGTTGTACTCCTTGCTCCTCTTCACTTTCCAGCTGATGAGGGCCAGCAGCACGGTGCCCACCACCTTGTAGCCCACCTGCAGCCCCAGGTATCTGCCGGGAGAAGAGCAGGGACATGCCAGGGCTGCAGCTGGCACTTGCAGCCGGGCTGGGGCCCCTGCCCTGCCCGGGGCCGGGGCTCAGGGTACCTGTTCCGGAGGAAATCGTTGTTGTAGTAGGCGCAGAAGCGGCCCGGGGCGCACTGCTGCTGCTGCCAGTAGATGCAGGAGGAGTCGATGAGGGCTCCGAACATGGCTGGGGCCGGCAGCCAGGCTGGCGGGAGAGAGGATGGAGTTAGCTGCTGATCCCGAGGAGGTTCAGTGCCTCCTGCAGCCCCCCAGGCTCATTCAGAGATGGGCACTCACCCAGCAGTCTCATCAGTAAGAACTGGACTCCGATGGCAAACGACTTCTCATCCTGGTTCACCACCCTGCGGGGCAGAAACCACGGAAGGTCAGAGCTGCTGGCCCTGGATTTGGCCAAGATTCGGGCTGGTTGCACGTTTATGACATCCTGTTGATCCCAGCATGGGGAACCATCCTATCAGCTCCCCTGGGACTGAGGAGCCCACGCACCACTCACCGTAACACCATCATGTAGAGGGGGTTGTGGGACAGGCAGGCCACCAGGGCAGCAAAGGAGATGAGGAATATGGCAGGAAGGAGCATATGGGAGCAGCTGACTGGACAAGAGCCCGTGTAGGTGGAGAACAGCTCATTCCCATTCAGGGAACAGTTGTGGTAGATCTGTTGGAAACGTTTGGAACAAAACAGACGTCAGACTCCCAGCGCCTGGAGCAGCTTTCTCAGGACGAATCATCCCACATCCCTGTGCAGGACACCCATAACAGCACCAGCTCCAGTTTTAAGGCACAGCCATGGCATCCTGTAATGGGATTTGCCACCATCCCTGTTCCTCCAAGCAGGTTCCCAGAGCCTTACAGCAATTCTCCAGGACACCTTCCCAGAGCTCAGCACACCACATGGAAAAGGTTCTACCCCCTTATTGCATTTTTTGGGCTCCTGCAGCATCACTCCACTATTCCAGCAAGGCTGCTTTGCTAGCCACTTGCTTTACTCACCGTTTGTGTGGGGTTGGAGGGGTTGGTGGTGCTGTTGGTGCAGCCAGCGAAGCAGGGTGAGATGTATTCCGTGGTGTTTTTCCGGCACACGGGGTGGAAGATCTGCTTAGAGCATTGGCACCCAACCCGTGCCTTAACCTGCTGCTGGGAATTGGGTGTGCTGCCAGAAAGGAGGGGGGAGAAATTGGCAAAAAATAAGAAATAGGACAGGAGGAATTAAAAAAAAAAAATTCCTTTTACTAGTTGAGCAGTTTTCCTGTTCCTGTTTGGGCTGGGACACTGCCAGCAGCGGCCTGGCCTTCTGCCAGCCCCTGATCCCTGCAGGTACCTCTGGAAGCGTGCAGTGAATGTCACAGGAATTATGTTATGTCTACAAACAAGTACTGACACACTTCTTTTATATTTTTTTCTTTTTTTTTTTCCTCAGCTGAAAATTAATCGGCCAAAAGCCTGTAGAAATGGACCTGGGCTCCATCCAGAGCTGCACAAACAGATGTGTGAACAGCCACAGCTGGAAACACCACATGGACACAAACTGAAAGTGGGCATGTTCCCAAACAAGCCTGATGGCTGTGGAAGTGAAGAGGACAAACCCAAATCTGCCCCGTCTTCCCTCATTCCTCCATCTGCTGGAGTCACACAGCCTGAATCCTGCAGGAATGTGGCACTGGGGAGCTGCCCGTGGGCAGGGTGGGATGGGGCTGCTCCACCCCATGTGGGAAGATGGCATCAGAAATCTCTTCCTTGCTGGCAGGGCTCTGGGAAATGAGCTCAATGCACTTGACATCAAGCCTTGGTTGTACACAAATGTCATTTTTATCTTAGGAAGTCATGGTAAGAGCCAAAAATATGCACTGAGGTGAGGAGAAAGATGAAGTCCAGCTGGAACACTGGGAGCGTGTGAAGTGATGTGGACACAGTGTTACTAATTTTCCCCTAAAAATCCAGAGTGAAAAATTACACTCTGCTTGTTTGGCCCAGAAAATCATGGATAAACACCCTCCCAAGCTCTCCGGGCTGTGAAGTACCCGGATCTCCTCCATGCAGTGCAGAACAAGGAGCAAGAAGCAGCATGGTGATGTCCTCTGCCTCTCCACCTGCGTGTGTCCCTTGACACAGCTGGAGAAACGAGGAGCTGGGAGCAGCACCTGCATTACCTGGAGTGGTAGATGCCCTCGATGTGCCCCGTGGAGCAGCCCATGAAGAAGATGGGCAGGCAGATGAGGATGGAGAAGACGAGCACCACCACGGCGAAGCGCGGGATGGCGCGCAGGGAGAAGGAGAAGCGCTTCATGATGATCCCTCCCAGCAGCATCCCCAGCGCTGCTGCCGGCAGGTTCACAGCTCCTGCAGAGGAACGGAGCCTTCAGGGGGGTCCTGCCTGCCCAGAACCACCCCCATGGGTGAGGGGCAGCTCTCTGGACCCCACAGGAGTTGGGAGAACCCTCAGATCCAGCTGTTGTCCAAGACAGCCCAAACCCAAGGCAGCTGGGGAACTACAGGTCAGGAATTCACCCATTACCCCAAGGTGAGCCCCAGGTCTCATCCAAAAATAAGCTTTCACTGGCTTCTTCTCCAGGATTTTAAAAGCCTGGAGAATATGGGCATCTGGCTCCCTGCTGATGGATATTTTTTGCCTCCCTCCGTGCTCACCTATGAGGAAGTTGGCCTGGGAGGGGGAGGCACCGTACTGCTTCTCCAGGAATTTGTTGAGGAAGGTGGCCAGACCCGCAATGACGGAGGAGAAGCTGCACTGAGCCAGCACCAGGAGGATGAAGAGGGGGTTGAGCAGCAGCTTGAGGAAGATCTTTGGGAATCCTACAGGGAAACCATAGGAAAATATCTTTTAGCTATGTGATTCTCACACCAGCCATTTGTACTAGGAAAAAACCTCCACCCTTAGCCTCTTCCCAGTCTGTGGGATGATGATGATGATCTGCTGGAGATGTCTGTGGGCATGGGAAAGCAGGAGGGGAGACACCCTAATGTGTCCCAGCAGCTGGCAGCATCATGGATGTGTTTTCCTGATGGGACATTGTGTCCTCTGGCCCCATCAACAGAGGCAGATGGACCCTGGGAGCAACTCTGTTTATTTGGTCTCTTATGAGTTTTCTAATTAGCAGAGAGTCAGCATCCATTAAAGCCCAAAGAGAGGAGAAGAGGGAACTGACAGCTCCAGGATGTGACTGCAGTGGAGGAAGAGGCAAGGAGGGAGGGGCTTTATCTGGGAAGAAATCCTGGAGCTGAAGAGTCATTAATCTGGTCTCTCAGCAGCAACATCCCTCTCAAGCCTCTTTGGCTCCACATAAACAGGGTCAGCTGCAGTGGGGTGACCTCGTCGAGGAGCTGGTGGCGCCGGCAGCCCCATGCCCACTCCTGGAGCTGGGGTTAAACCTCCCAGAGACCCTTTTCTGGCACACTCATACCACTTTAACGCCCTCAACACAAAATTTGGAGACAATTCAGGCCCCACAGAAGAGGGGCCTCAAGAGGTCTGTAGCCAGAGGGAGGCTGTGCCCACGTTCCCTCGGTCCTTAGGCCCTCGTGGTGCCAGAGCTGGTCCACACACGGTGCTGGGCTCCCAACAAGCCCCCTTGGTGTGACCCTGCTGGTGTGGGGGTCCCCACCCGCCCCCCATGGCCCAGCACGGCCCAGCATCCCCACCCACCCTCTCCTGCACCCCCAGGAGTTTACTTTTGATGAACTCCAGCAGGGAGGTGTCTTGAGCAGCCCCTGTCTCCATCTTCCTGAGCATCCCGGCCTCCGTGTTCCGCTCCTGGCAGGGAGAGAGGGGCAGCCTGTGGTGAGAGGGGCTGGCACTGTCCTGGCACAGTGGTCAGTTCCTAGGCAGAGGTCCAAGGCCCCTGGGAGGGTCAGGGTCTGTCCCAGGGGCCTTGGACCCCCAGCCAAGCCTGACAATTGCAGCAAAGCCCTGTCCCACGTGCCCTGAGCACCTCTCCAGGCTGGGAGAGCTGGGAGTGTTCACCTGGAGAAGAGAAGGCTCTGGGGCTCCAAGAGAACTGGAGAGGGATTTGGGACAAGGGCCTGGAGTGCCAGGACAAGGGGGAATGGCTTCCCACTGCCATTAGGGTTAGATGGGATCTTGGTGAGAAATTCTTGTGGTGCTGAGGCCCTGGCACAGGGTGCCCAGAGAAGCTGTGGCTGCCCCATCCCTGGAAGTGCCCAAGGACAGGTTGGACGGGGCTTGGAGCAGCCTGGGACAGTGGAAGATGTCCCTGCCCATGGCAGGGCATGGAACAGGATGAGCTTTAAGGTCCTTCCAACCCAAACCATTCCAGGATTCTGGGATTAAAGGGGTGAAGTATCTCAAATATCACTGCAGCCCCTGAGCAGAGCAGCAAGACAACAGCTTGTTGTTGGGAGGTTTTAAGAACTTGGAAATCTTTCCTCTCCTGAACCCTGACAAAATACCTCCCTTTTAACTCTACAAAAAGTCTGAAAATGAAAGTTAGAGATAGTTCAGCTCAAGTCTGGTGAGTCCTTTAGCCATAACTGTGAAATATTTTGGGTTTAATTTTACCTTTAAAGAATCAGTGAGTAAACAATTTCAAAACAGAACTAAAGTATTTTTGTAACAAAACCAGCGGGGTTTGGCTTTGAAAACACCAAAATGATACATGTTTAATGGGACAGGATTGCTGGACTGCCTTCCTCCCTCCCACCCCTCTCCTCTGAGGACAGGTATTCCTTCCCTGAGCACATCCCTGGCCCCAGGACGTTCCAGCCTCTGGAGATGAGGTCTCACCTCTCCTTTCAGCATGTACCGAGGGAAGAAGAAGTAAGGGATGGAGGTGAGCACCAGGCAGCCCGAGGAGATGAGCAGCCCCAGCCACCAGGCTCCGATCCAGCGCTGGTCGCTCGGCGTCAGCTCCACTGCCATTGCAACACACAAGGACACACTGTAAGAGCTCCAAGGGTGACAGGGACAGATCTCCATGAAAATGTGGGCTGGTGGAGTATGAAGAGTCCCCGTGGGCACAACCCAAGGGTCTCTCCACTGGCATGTAAGAGTAAATAGATGGAGGTGGGACTCCCACCAGTGTTGGCGAGACTGGCCCTGGTTGTGTTTGATCTTTGTTTTCCCTGCCTAGGAAAACAACCACTGCCACTCATCCCAACTGTACTGAGCCTCCCAGGTGACTGCAGGATGGATTTGGTCATCATGGCTCACTCCAAGTCCCGAGCCAGCCAGCAAGGCACAGATTATGGGGGCCTGACTCCATCTTCTGCCTGGAGAACACAGTGGGTTGGACCATGCTGCTGACAAGGATGCTGAGCCAAAACAGGGACTGGGAAAGGCTGTGCTGCTTTCCTGGAAAAAGTTTCTCCCCATTGTTCCAGGCTCGGTCACTTTCTGCTCGCAGGGACCGAGGGAAGGCCCTGTGCTGGCAGAAGCTCCTGCTTTCCAAGTGGACCAAACTCCGGGCGCCTTCTCCGGAAAAAGGAGGAGAAGGTGAGAGCCTCTGTGTCTCCAGCACACACATCCTTTGGCTGGGCCAAGTGATGCTCACGGGAGGCCTGACATTGCCTGGCTTGGCCTGGGGACACGGCTGCCCATGCCGGGATGTGGCGGCTGGGAAGGAACCACGGCCAGCTCCCGTGGGAGCTCCGTGCCAGGGGCTGACAGGAGAGGAGCCCACACCCCCTGAAACAATCAGCCCACTTCCCCAAACAGGACCACTCCACTCTGGAGCTTGGATGTCATCATGGAGCGACCAGGCAGAGGCTGCTAAATCCGTCTGCCGCCGCGGGGAGCGGGCCAAGGCTTTTTGGCATTTCCTGCCCACGTTCATTTATTATTCTTATCAGGCACCGGACAAAAATGTCAGGCAGGCTCTGATCTCTCTAAGGAAACACAGGAAAAGCCACGTTAATGATGGAGCTGGGGAGAATTCTTTAGTGATTAAGTTACCAGAAATAATAAGCACATGTCATGGATAAAGCAAATTATCCCTGTGGTGGCGTCAGCTCAGCCCCTCTCTCTGCAGGTGCTGGTTCTGGGGAGGAGGATGACTACACTCAAGTTCTCTTTTTATCCACAGGGCAGTGATTTCTCTCTGGTTGTCTTCTCCATCCCTGGATTCCTCATATTTCCCTGTTCCTCTCCACCACCACGCTGGGGTTGTGGGACACCTCCTCAGTGTGGTGGCAGTGGGCAGACCCCAGCCATGCCCTCCAGTGCAGCACCATGAGTTGGGCATTGGAATGTCCCTGCCCCAGGGTTCTGCTTCCGTGGTGGTGTCAGGACCACCTCTGTCCTTATGGGGTGATAAAGTGGAGGAGTATGCTGGGGGTGCTTTTCCAGGTCAGATCTTTCCAGGGCAGTGGGTTTTATGGGTCACAGGACTGGTGGCTTCTGTCACCTTTCATCTCAGAGTGACCTGACCCACAGAGGGTCTGTAGGACCTCTGCTGTCTGAGCAATACTCACCAGTGTGAACCCTCCCGATGTCCACGAAGAGCCGCAGCACCACGGACCCCAGCAAGTACCCAAAGGCAGGGCCAAACACAGCAATGGCAAACAGGATGGCTGGGAAAAGGGAGCAGAGAGAGCCCCTGTGAGCAGGGAAATGCAGTTTCCATGCAGAGATGGCTTCTGTCTTCCCAGGAAATGCAGGAGGGGAGAAACCACCCCTCATCACCATTCAGATGGTGAGAAGGTCCCCACTGCCCCGACACTGAAGGTGGTGTTTATCTGACAGGAACAGAGGGGGAAGGCAGCTGTCTGTGGACTTTAAAGTCCCCCTGCTCTGCTGCCATCAAGGCTTTGCTGCCACAATACAAATTGTCAGCTACACCATGAATATCCATGATATTCATGACCCTCAGGGAGCAGCAGGGCGCTGACATCCAGGGCTCACACAGGTGATTGAGACCTTTATGTCCTCTAGGATGCCAAGGAAACAAACACATCCTAATCCTCAGATCCAAGGAGAAATACTTGGTTCAAACATCAGGTGAGGTGAAAGATTCTGAGGGCAAAAAGGCCACCAGACCACCCTGGGTGTAGCTGAACCCTCCCATTCCAAAATAGATAACCCATAAGGTCAGAACATTTTATTTTCATTTGTTTGCAATGACAGGAGCCAAGTTCCCTCCTCGAGAGAAACTCTTTACACAACTTTCAAGATGTTTAAAAGGAGTCAGTGAGCTTGAGCTGCATCAGACATAAAATGAAATGGGACTTGGGGAGATGGAATTTCTGCTATATTGAGGCACCCTGACAGACATTTCCACCTCCCTAAAGGGAGCACCTGTATTAAAAACAACACACCAGACCCACTTTCCTTCCTCTTCAGAACCTTTCAGGTTCCTTCAGTCTTCTTTCCTTCAATTGCCTTGCAGATTTGAGAATTCTAAGGGATCAGTGGGACAATTCATGGGAACAGTGATCCCTCACTGCAGAGGGAAGACAAGGATGAAGGAACTTGGAGCAGCTTGGTCTAGTGGGAGGTATCCCTGCCCATGGCAGGGGGTGGAACTGGATGAGCTTTCAGGTCCCTTCCAACCCAAACCACCCTGGGATTCTGTGAAACAAACCAATGTGCAGCACTGGCCCCACTTACCAACATAGAGTGGGGAATTGTTGGAGTCTGCAAAGTCATCCACGTAGGATATCCCGAAGGGCTGGATGGGCACGGTGCCGATCCCGGCCAGCAGCTGGGCAATGACCATCATGGCCCACACACTGCTGGCCTCCTTCTCGGGGTCCCGGGTGGTGTTTGAGCACACAAATCTACTCTCTGCATAGCACAGCTCAACCTGCCCCTGGCTCTTGTTACCTGGAAGGGGAAAAAATGAGCATTTCAACACTGAGTACATCCCCTGCCTCCTCCCACACTAAATCCCCAAATAGCAGGAATCTCCCAAACTCACTGAGTAAGCACAAAATGCTGGATTTTGGATGGATTGCTCATTTTATTCAGCAGTTCTCATCATCCTGCACTTCCTTTGGAGTATTATACTGAGGTCAGCAAACAACCAGGCTGTGATTTTAATCACACTTTTAAAGAGTTCATGCCATGGAGTGAGGGTGCTCTGGGTTTAACGAGGGCAGACCTAACCCATGGCTGGTTTTTGCAGTCTGTGGTCTCTGCTCCCTTGTGGTACCCGGGCAGGAACAGAGTGTGATGCCCTCTGGGGTCAGCTGGCTGCCCTAAGAGGACACCCTGCCCTGAATCCCTGCAGCACCCACAGCTCAGGAGTAGCCCAGCTCCTTCCAAAACATGGCCCTTGCCCTTTCATACAACCCAGACACTGAGGGTGTTCATCCTGCTCCAGGCTGCCATGGAAACTCCAGCCAGGACCGAAGTACCTTCAGGGGCTGTTCACAGACTGAATGTGCTCTTTGCCATCAGGCAGTCCTCCTAATGTCAATATCTCTGCCCTGTCCGTCTGTTTTTGCAGTCCATCTCTAATCCTGTTCAGTTTAGCAAAGGTGCTCTGCAAGAATTGTGTTCTGTGCAGAACTTTTGGGTCATTTCCATTCCTAATGGAAAATAGAGCTGCCATTATTCACATGAGCTTGTTCCCAAAGCCTTCCCAGTTAAAGCAGCAGATTTCCTTGGACTGGATCAGATCAGGATCTTGGCCAGAGCAGGCCCTGGGGACAGGGGGGCTTTGCTACATCACAAAATTCCAGAATGGTTTGGGTTGGAAGGGACCTTAAAGCCCATCTCATTCTCCCCCTGCCACAGGCAGGAAAACCTTCCACTAGCCCAGGTTGCTCCAAGCCCTGTCCAACCTGGCCTTGGACACTTCCAGGGATCCAGGGGCAGCCACAGTTTCTCTGGGCATCCTGTGCCAGGGCCTCAGCACCCTCACAGAGAAGAATTTCTCCCTAATGTTTAATCTAAACTACTCTCAGAGAAACTGTGGCTACCTCATCCCTGGAAGTGTTCAAAGACAGACTTGGAGAAACCTGAACAGTGGAAGGTGTCCCTGCCCGTGGCAGGGGGTGGAATGAGATGGGCTTTAAGGTCCTTTCAAACTCAAACCATTCTGGAATTCTGTAACAACAGCTGGAATAACATGTGCAGGAGAAGCAGAAAAAACCCCACACATAATTTTTGCATTCAGAAAGGGTTCCAAAGCTATAACAATGTCAGGTTTAACCAGCAACTGCCCACCTTAAGGCTCTGCCTTCACTGTTTGAATCACGTGTGCCCTGGAAACACCCCCTTTTTTGGTGGGCAGTCACACACCACCCATCTGGAGCAGCTGGATCTGGGTTTGTGGGGCACAGCTGGTGGCACTCACCCGTGCTGAGGGCAGTGTACTCGTAGGGGCCCGAGAGGAAGTGGGGCAGGGTCACCAGGAAGGCCCCCAGGGCCAGCAGCAGCCCCCCGAGGCCGATCACGCGCGGGCGGTGCACGCGGCTGCCAAAGTAGCTGACAAAGATGATGAGCACCACGTTGCCAATCTGGAAAAGGCACAGAGAAGAGGGAGGAATGTGAGGAGACATCACAGAGGATGTCCAGACCCTGTGGCTGTGTCTGGGTGGGTGGACAGGGCTGTCATCAGGAGGTGTTTGATGCTCACAGGAGCAGGAGCATCCCCTGGCCCTGGGTGTTCACAGCACATCAGTGCTCCCTTCTCATCTCCAGCCACTCCCTGGCCTCAGCCTCCTCTGGGCATCCCTTGTTGGCATGAATGACATCACAACCTCCCTGGGATTTGTCTGGGGCTCTTTAGCATCCACACCTGCCCCCCACCCCACAGGCATCACTGAATCATTTATGTTAGAAAAACCCTCCAAGACCATCAAGTCCAGCTGCTCCCCCAGTGCTGCCAAAGCCACCACTGCCCTACGTCCCCAAGTGCCACATCCACACATCTGTTAAACCCCTCCAAGAATGGGGACTCCACCACTGCCCTGGGCAGCTGTGCCAGGGCTGGACAGCCCTTCCAGTGAAGAAATTTTCTCTCACACACAAGCTGAACCCCTCTGGCACAGCTTGAGGCCATTTCCTCTTGTCCTGTCCTTTGTTCCCTGGGAGAAGAGATTGACTGATGTGCATAAACTGACAATTCCTGCAAAACCAGCAAGGAACGAAACAGATTGCCTCCATTCCCGTGACTCAAACAGACATGAGCCCTGCTACAAAGTCCAGCTCACTGCAAATATTTATGACCCTGGGCATTTGCAACTGCAGACAGCATCAACTAGAAAGCCATGAAACCACACAGCTTGCTCAGGCAAGTGGGTGAACACCACAAAATTCCCATTACATGGGCTTTAACAGCTCTGGACAACCTAAACATCATTTTAACTTTGGCATGTTGATGTTGTCCCTGCTCATTGCAGGGGGTTGAGCAAGATGGCCTTTAAAGGTCTCTTCCAACCCAAACCATTCTGTGATTCTATGTATGGCTAAGAAAACTTTGTATTTGTCTTTGCGTGGGCTCCATTGTTTGTCTCTTTGTGGGTTTTGTTCTTGGAATTGCTGTAGGCACCAACGCACTAAGATTCTTGTCCTGGACAGGCAGGGCACCTCACACAGACACAGACAGCCAGAAGACTCAGTGAGCCCTGAGACATCTTTTTAATCCCAAATGTCCATGCTGGTTGAGGTAAGACTTGGGCATCCACTTCCCCAGGGATCCAGGAAGATTCCCAGTGTCCATCTTCTTGAGCATCCCATGTGCTCACCAGGGAGCTCATGAACAAGTGTGCAGCCACTTGGTGCCAGCAAAAAAGTCTGTGCCAGCAGATCTTTTCCTGGCCTTTGCCAGGCCTTGAAGAGCTGCTAGGAAGGACAGAATTCCTAAAAATGTGAATTATTCCAAGGGATTTCTTGATAAGAAAGTGTGTGAAAATCCTCGGCCAGCTCAGCAATATGCCTTAAATTGCCAGAGGGCAGGATTAGATGGGATATTGGGGAGTAATTGTTCCCTGTGAGGGGGGTGAGGACCTGGCACAGGGTGCCCAGAGAAGCTGTGGCTGTCCCTGGATCCCTGGAAGTGTCCAAGGCCAGGTTGGACAGGGCTTGGAGCAACCTGGGCTAGTGGAAGGTGGCCCTGCCCATGGCAGGGGGTGGAATGAGATGGGATGAACTTTAAGGACCCTTTCAACCCAAACCATTCTGGAATTCCATCCAGTGGAAGTTGCTCTTGTCCAAGGGCCATCCCCACAGGACCACCCTGTCCCCCCCCCGGAGGTGGCAGAGCAGAATGAGGTGTGACGAGGTGTGACAAGGTGTGATGAGGTGTGACGAAGTGTGACAAGGTGTCCCAGAGCACAGCACAGCTGCTCCTCCCAGCACAGGGAGGCTGAGGAAGCCCTGGGTGTGAACAGCCCTGTGACCCTGTTTTGGGAAGATGCCCCCCGGGTGCTGCCCACCCTTTGGGTGCTCCTCTCCCAGTTACCTCGTGCAAGCTGGAGATGAAACCTGAGGAGAGGCTGGAGAGCCCAAAGCGCTTCTCGATGGTGGTGAGGCTGCTCTTGAAGTTGGCACTGTAGAGGAGCTGGGAGAGCTGGAGGAGCCCATGGCACAGCACAAACACCTGTGGGCAAACAGAGAGTGCCACCCAGTGAGGACCCAGTTGGAATCACAGATTCATTAAGGTTGAAAGGACCTCCAAGGTCATCAGGTCCAACCTTTGACCAGGTACTGCCATGCCCACTGAACCATATTGAGAAGTGCCACACCTACTCACTGCTTGGACACTTCCAGGGATGGTGACCCCACCACCTCCCTGGACAACCTGTTCCAATGATTAACTACATTTTCAGTGAAGAATTTTCCCTGAGATCCAATGTAAGCCTCTCCATGCACCCTTTGAGGCCATATGAGCCCAGAGTGCCCTGCTGGTGACCACATCCTGCACGAGTGTACTCCAGCTGGCTCTGGCCAATGGCTGCACCTCTGGCACGGAGCATCCTGGGATTCACTCAGCTGGAAAGTCAATTAACTGAACCTGCTCCAAGGGGTGTTGCTAGAAAAAGTCAAAAAAGGGCGTTAAAAGCCCCAGAGGGAGAGGATGAAATATGCACAGCGTGGTCTCACTGCTGGAAGATTCCAAAATAGTATTCCAAACCCAGCATCTTCCCTTGAGCTGGGCAGTGAGCTGAGCCAGGAGCCAAGCTGAGCAGAGGCAGAGGAGGGAATACAGAGAGTTTGGGAGAAATCTGGCTGAAAGAGCCCGGGTGGGCTGCGAGAGGAGAGTGCTCTCAGCCAGGGATGCAAGAGGCAGCTCATAAGTGTCTTTTGATCTATATTTAGTCATAACAGTTTTCCTTTATTTTTCTTGGAATGGAATGCATCCACACGGTGCCAAAAGCGTTTTAGAATCAATTTTTTTAAATCCCAACAAATAAATAAAAATAATTAAAAAACAAATGAGGGAAGGTCTTTTAATTTAGATTCACAGGAAATCAAATATTTGCTGAATACAGGAAGAGTGTCCCTCAATGATAACGTCGGGAAGTGCGAGGACAGATTCCTGGTGTTTTTGGCCAGAACAGCAGCAATAGTCCTTATGAGTATTTATCTGGAAGGGCGGTAGCACCCCGTAGCCCTGACCCATTAAATGATTTTAAAAAATCAAAAAAGACCAGCTTGGAGGATGCAAATTCCATCATGGGTGGAGTTGTGTTTAGGGAGCAGAGGATGAGGCATGGCCAAGCCCAGCAATTGTAGCAGAATTTGGGTAGAAGATGAGCAAGAAAATGGTTTCTTGGGAGTCTTCTCCTCTGAAGGAAGAGAGATCCAGCCAAAAGATGTGGCTGGGAATCTAAAAGCATAAGGGATGGGAGAGATGCTGACAGACAGAAAAAGAGAAGAGGATGGAGATGAAGGAGAAGGAGAAAATGGAGCCCTGGCAGTGTGAGGGCAAGCTTGGAAAAACCTGGAGACTATGGGGAAGATGAAGGAGAAAGACAAACACCCAAAAAATGAGGAAAGAAGGATCACAGGCACAAGCTGCCATCACAGAGTCCCCAGCCACATCTGGGAGGGGTGAGAGCAGACAGGCTGGCATCAGGCTGGCATTGCCATTGCAATAACCAGGAAAGGACAAGCTCCCAAGCCGGGACTTTGCCCTGACAAAAAGCTGCAGAACAGGAATTTGGGGTGTAACGTGGGAAATCCTCTCAGACAGGGCCAAAGTGGAAGTAAATATCTGCCAGTAAACTCTTGGAGCTGAATGACCTCTCCATCCTCCCACTATCAGCTCCCACACTTGAAATGCCATCCCAGGACAGAACCCTGTGGATAGAAGCTGGATCCACCACCTTCCCCAGTCCTGACCTGGAATCACTGTGGGCTGATCTGGAGCAGAGGGGTGGCTCCTGTGAGGATGGCTACTGGAGAGGGGATCTTGTTGCCAGAAAACAACAATTAGAGTCTCTGGCCAGACTCTACAGAAGCCACAGGAGCAAGGAAGTGCTGGCTGAGGAGCAGTGCTGCGGGAGCTCCTGAGCTGCAGAGCAGCTGAACACGGAGCTCTCCCGGAGCCAGGCGTCAGCCGGAGAAGCAAAGCTGTTTACCAACAGGGAGGGAAGAGGGTGGATCGCCGAGGCCCAATTTAGCACAGCAAAAGTCAGCCTGACCCAGGGCAGATGGGGACATGGAGCGTCGAGGACAGAGGGGATGCTGGCACGGAGGGAGGATGAGGAGGAGAGGAAGGCTGGCTCCCCAGAATGCTGGGGATGGGTTGGAGGCATGGAAGGATGATGGGGACCACAGCAGGAGAAGAGAGGGACAAGCCATGGGTGGAGAGGGCAGGGAGGAACAGGCAGAGCTGCCAGGAGAGGGTCCAAGATGTGTCTGTGCCTTCGTGATAACCTGGGATGGCCAAGACAGAGCCCTGGATCCAGAGATCCTGGGGATGAGCTGGGGCTGCCTGCCATCAGCAGGAGAAGAGAGGGACAAGCCATGGGTGGAGAGGGCAGGGAGGAACAGGCAGAGCTGCCAGGAGAGGGTCCAAGATGTGTTTGTGCCTCAGTGATAACCTGGGATGGCCAAGACGGAGCCCTGGATCCAGAGATGCCTGGGGATGAGCTGGGGCTGCCTGCCAGGAGGGAAGATGAGGTGGGAAAAATGCAGCTGGAGAGCAGCAGCAAAGGGAGAGGAAAACCTCAGGGTGTGACTGCTTCCCCCTGCCCGTGGGTCCTTCTAACCCAGCTCTTGTCTGCAGGATGAACCGGAAAGGCGGCAAGGCCGGATGGATCCTCCAGGGATGTGATCCCACCCTGAGACCACACAGCAGCCTCAGCCCTCGGATGTGCAGAGCCCAGAGAATGGGAGGGGAAGGGCAGGGGTGAGTTTTTTTTCCTTGGGAAGAACCTGCCACCCAAAACAGCCAGAGAAAGGCAAAACAACCTTTGCTCCAGGACTTGTGCGGCTGGAGCACGGATTTTCCAGACACAAGTGTCCAAGTGTCTGGAGGGGAGATGAGGCCTGATTCAAGACTTCCCTTGAATTCAGCAGACTGTTTAAATTATAATAAGGACATCCCAAACGTTGAAGGCTGAGTGCAAAAAACTGGGAGAGGGCCTTACTTGGAGGGCTCCCCAAAAGGAGTCCATGCACCCCCTGAGGCTGGTGGACGTGAGGGGCACCACTCTCCTGTGTCCCCTCACAAGTCTCTCCCATCCCTGTCTCTCTTCCCATGCATTCCCATCCCCACACATTCACGCTGACCACCCACAACCTGCTGGTGCATGGCAACCAGCCCCGGCCTGGCCCTTCCAGCTGCGCCAGATGTGCTGTGCTGCCCCACGCTCCCGCCGAGCAGCCCCAGCAGGGGAGGGAGCTGCCGTAATCCATCTTCCCTGCTGACAAGAAGGGGCTCTTAAGGAAGAGGCGAGCTCGCTCGCAGGGAGGTTTGGCTGACGCAAAGCCGACGCGAGGGCGAAGGCGCGGTGGGAGGCTGAGGAGCCGGGGGCACTCCCAAGTGCTGACCCTCCGGAGCACGGGCTCCCACGGGAGCCTGGGGTATTTTTGGGGAGTGATTGCAGACAGGCAGGGAGCAGCACGGGCAGGCCAAAGGCGTGCACCCACGTGGAACCCCCCCAAAATCCCGTCGTAATCATCCCCGCGCTTCCTTCGGAGCAATCCTGACTCCAGGCTGTTTATACAAGGCACTTGACTCCTTTCCAAAAGGAGCTGCATTTAGAAGGGAAGCAAACTCCTGGGGGAGACAGGCTGCTGCCCCCACCCAGCTCGTGGGGACCAGCACCTCCCAGGGCAGCGCTTTTTCCAAAGGAAGAGAAACCCACCCCATGGCAGGGAAGGGGAAGGATTCGTCCTTCCATGCTCTGGACAATGGGGAACTGGCAAGGATTCGGCCAATCCCAGACTAAACTTCCACCTGAGATGTGTCCATCACTCAGGTTTCATTTCATAGGCATGAACCACCTCTATGGAGCCTCCATGGATCTCCAGGAGTCAGGATAAGGCTATTCCAGGCGGGAGCCTAACTCTGCTCTGCAGGGACCACAGCTTTGGGAGGATCCTGCTACATGTGGCATGGCCATTGCTCCACCTGGAGGAGTGAGTTAAGGGTTAATTCCCTGCTGTGCTTCCACAGTTCATGTCCAAAGTCATCCCTCACCTCATTTTTCAGTGTCTTCCCCTTGGCAGCCCTGGTTGGAGATAAAGAGGGTGGAAAAGTTGACGGCACTTGTGCTAATCTCTGTACCCAGCATCTTTCCCACAGCAGTGGGGATGGAAAGACCCAGGGCTTTGTTCATTAGGTGAACACAAGGATTGCCTGGAGAGCTGCAGACCCTCACAGAATCTATCCAAGTGCTCCCAGGTGATGGATGACACCAAAGTAGGATGTAGCCAAGAGCAAAATTAATCTGGCTGGAGTAAACCTTTGGAAAGGACTAGGAGAAAGGATGCTCCATTTGTTTTTCCCTCTGCAGAGTACAACTGGAGTTGAGTCCAAAGCAAAATAGTTTGATCCAAGTGGAAAGTCAGAAGACTTTCCTCCCAAAATCAGGGAACATTCTTCCCAAAGCAGGAGACTCCAATTGCCCACCTCTGGAGTCTCCCTCCACTTTAATCTCCTGAGCTTGCAAGAGAAAAAAAGGAAAAGTACAGGGGGAACTGAAGGAATTAATAAGAATATCCCCAAAATTTTAATAGGAAGAAGACAGAATCTTTATTTTAGAGTAGTAAGATAACTCTTACTACACTGGGAGATCCTCCTGCAGTAGGACAGCTGAGGTCACTCAGTCCAAAAGAAATAAATCAGCTGGACAGGGAAATTGTAGGGATGTGTGTGGAAATACATCCCTCCTTGGCATCACTTTCCTATGGACAGCTGCCTGGATTTGTAGATCAAAAAGTACCATGAAAGATGAAAAAAGCACAGCATTTCCAGAAAGGGAACCAAACACCCTGCACAGAGCCCATCCTTTAGCACAAAACCTCTGAGTGTGGTCTAGTGGCAGAAGCTGGCTTCTAAGTGGGATTTCTATTGCAAACAATAAAATAATAAGAAAAGTAACCTGATCAGGGATTGCCTGAAGCACGCTGGAATGACGACTGTCT